CTTGTGTCGTCAACCTTGTAACATTCTTGTTATATCATGACTGTATCAGACTTGTTAGAACAACCTTGTAACAAGTCTGATAATGCCATCAAGCTTGTGACAAGTTGTTAACAGCTTTGAAGTTGAAAATTTTCAACTTTTAACAATGATATTTTTGGAACATTTTTCTGTCCGTGGGAATTTTTATTGAGTAGAAATGGACCTTAACAACTTGTTTGGAGACCTGTAACAACGTGTGCGTTTTTACGCGTGTATTTGTATCTCTAACACATCACTGTCAATAAAGCACATTCCCTGCCTCTCCAATGTTACTGCAAGAGAAAACTACTTCATTTCTTTTACTCAGGATGGAACAGTCTCGATAAAAAATGTCCAGTTCGATGACCGTCTTGTTGGGGTGAAGGAACTCACGATCAAGTGTGAAAGTCTGATGTGTTACCAACGAATTGAGGTACAGTAAGGGTCTTACCCTATTTGCAAATAAATTTGCCTTGTATCAAATTCATTAATAATTCATGAGTAAATTAGCCAACCATATTGCTTTATTTTGCTCAAATGGTAATACTGCATCATAGATATCTTATATACACTAGATAGTGCATCTAATTATTCTGCAATTCAAAAATTGAAGCCGTGATTGCAGTCTCAGGTCGTTGCCATGAAATTAGAAGATTCGTATGGTTTCTATTTCTTAAACGGGGAACTTAAACATTAAGTTAACCCTATTCCAAATTCGTTTTTAAAATATTCAAATGATGAAAGTTATTGTTGTTTTTAAGCGTTTGTTATAGAGTGGGAACGACCAACATGGCCGCCATCTATTCAAATGGGGGTAACCGCTGGAATATTCTTGGCTTCAATTTTACTAAAAGAGATGCGCTATCTGGTGTATATAAGATATCTATGTACTGCATACTGTACTTGGTGAATTATATTGATCCAGTCCTAGGACTAGATCAAAATTAAATCACCTCACTTTAACTTAAGTAGTGATTTATTCGTTTGAGATGTCATTTCGAATCCTCCAATACAGACTGGACTAGATTTCAAGTCCTCGCATTTTGGTCCAGTCCTCGCGGCTTCGCCCTCGCATTGCGCGGTTTTGAAATCTAGTCCAGTCCTCATAGTGGGATTTGAAATATTACTTATATGATCTATAGAGCTGTGCGGTTAACCGAAAAATTCGGTTCTTCCGGTACTTTTTTTAGCATCGAAAAACTATACGCAAAAAACCGGTAGTTTCGGTTTTAATTTCCCGTTTAACGCCAACCTGATTGCAGGTTGAAATGTTTGGAAAATAACAAGATTGTGCTCTTTGTGCACAATATGCACTGTACTAAGTGCTCAAATAGTTGATATTTTAGTTGTGATAGTTATTTTTGTGAACTTGCTTTAAATTTTTTTAAAAACTAAGAAATATTTCATGTTCATAAATAAATTCCAATTGTTCTTTTAAAATATTCAGAGATTTATACAAACTTATAAAGGCATAAATTCATCTATTTAGTAAAAATGCTCTAAACATACATAAATGAGTTCATACATTTGTACTGTTCTTCTTTTTTGAAAATAACCGAAACCGAACCGAACCGAGTTTTTTTTGTTCCAAAAAAAACGAGGTTTTTTTGTTCCAAAAAAACCGAAACAGGAACCGAGATAAAATTTTTGGAACCGCACAGCTCTGAATTGATCTAACCAGGAACAGCTGCGAAAAATGCAACTGTAGGTCCCTGTCAGGAATCGAACCTGCGACCCTGCGATTCCGGTGCAGCGCTCCAAATAACTGAGCTACAGAGAGACAGTTGTCAAGCTCTAACCAACTGAGCTACAGAGAGACAGTTGTCGAGCTCTAACCAACTGAGCTACAGAGAGACAGTTGTCGAGCTCTAACTAACCAGGAACAGCTGCGAAAAATGCAACTGTAGGTCCCTGTCAGGAATCGAACCTGCGACCCTGCGATTCCGGTGCAGCGCTCCAAATAACTGAGCTACAGAGAGACAGTTGTCAAGCTCTAACATAACTGAGCTACAGAGAGACAGTTGTCAAGCTCTAACCAACTGAGCTACAGAGAGACAGTTGTCAAGCTCTAACCAACTGAGCTACAGAGAGACAGTTGTCGAGCTCTAACCAACTGAACTACAGAGAGACAGTTGTCGAGCTCTAACCAACTGAACTACAGAGAGAAGTTGTCGAGCTCTAACCAACTGAACTACAGAGAGATAGTTGTCGAGCTCTAACCAACTGAGCTACAGAGAGACAGTTGTCGAGCTCTAACCAACTGAACTACAGAGAGACAGTTGTCGAGCTCTAACCAACTGAGCTACAGAGGCCAGTTGTCGAGCTCTAACCGCAGGTTTATGTATTATACTAAGGTACTGCCATGTGTAGGTCATGGCAGGGATGGATCTAGCATGATGTGGTGGTGGGGGGGGGTGCTCTGCCAGCTCTGGTAGTGCCGAGTTGTGTCTGTCATGTGTGCCGCCCGCCCATCAACTTGCTTCACTACTGTAAAGTCTTGCTTCACTACTGTATTTGAATTGTAATTGTTGTTCACAGTTTGCGTATATCATCATGTTATTACTCAAATTACCGTATCTCATTTTGCCTCTAATAATTTTTTGTTTTATCATGAAAAAATAGCACCCCCCCCCCTGCACCCCATCTGGCCAGGGCTAGGGGGGTGCACCCCTCCCCCCCGCACCCCCAGTAAATCCATCCCTGGGTTATGGATGTCCAATTTGAGGACCACTTGGGAAAATCTGCTTTTGCATGAACGGCTGATTATCATATTTTCAGATGCGTTTCTGACGGCTTCTAAAAATCCCTATAAAAAACTTCACAATGCGCTTAATTAAGAGAGGTATTAATATTTTTATTTAGGTGAGAAGTGGACCGCCTGCTAAGCTAAGAATTATAAGTTTCAACGCAACACCGGTAAGTATTTTGCGATATTACAAGTTGGCACTATCAGACTTGTTACAAGGGTGTTCTAACAAGTCTGATACAGTCATGATGTAACAATAATGTGACAAGGTTGTAACAATATTGTTATATCATGTCTGTATTGGTCTTGTTTGGAACAACCTTGTAACAAGTCTGATAATGTCAACAAGGTTGTTCCATACATGTTGACAACTTGGGACAAGCAGTGCGAACACAACTTGTTGACGGCTTGTTGGCAGACTTGCTACAAGACAGTGTGAGATTTTTACGTGTTGTTTTTATCCGTTTTACTGGGTTTTTTCCAGCATATCGGTGTCTTCAGCAACTGTCAGTTTCCCAAGCCAATCGTTCTTCAGCTGTGTGATGCATTTGGTAATCCATGTCTTGAAAGTAATATCAAAGTCGCACTGAATAAGGACTCGGGATTAAAGGTTGGTTTTTATATGTATTTTGCCTCACTTTATGCCCAAAGGGCAAAGGCTCATTTCCACTCTGAAAATTTTTCGCAGAAAGAAAATTTTGTAAAATGTAATTGGCCGACACAAATTTTCCGTCGGAAAAAAATTTTGAAGTTGAAAATTTTCAACTTTTTAACAATGATATTTTCGGAAAATTTTCTGTCCGTGAAAATTTTTCTTGAGTGAAATGGGCCTTAAGAGTAGTTCCTTATTTACGTATTTCCTGAGTGTAATTTTGTTGTGTACATTTCATTTATCCTGTAGTTAAATCCCGTACCATCTCCTCAGAAAACTGATGCTAAAGGACAAGTGACGTTTAGTCATTTCGAAGTGTCGGGGCAAAGGTATAAGAACCAGTTTACCTTGGTTCCAGAGGCTCTTTGCGAGGCGAAAGAAACGAGAGGCGAGAAGGAAGAGCCTCTGGTCACATCGGTTGCAAATCCCACTTCCACACTTGATTAGGTTCAGATTTGAATCTCGCATGTGATTGGCCATTTGTAAAAATATGTCAAACCGATTTGGGAAATAAACATTAGAGAGGTTAAGATACCCCGGTTTCGGTGTACGGGTACGAGTAGTGTCATCTTGTTTTACTGATGTCTGTAATTCGATCATACTTTTTCTGTTTTCTTGCAATAGACAATGATATAATGCGAAAGATGTGCACCTTAATTACGAGTAAAGGTACAGACATCTACGAAAATATTGCTAATCAAAATCATGCTACCCGTACACGTACACCGAAACCGGGGTATATTAACCTCTCTATTACTGTAAGCTAATTATAGCTATTTATATATAGCTATAAATATGTGAACGATGCCAACATACAGAAATACACTTACTAGCTTTAAAGACACAAGATGAAGGCAAAATAGAATTGTCGCCTGACGAAATTAGTGAGAAAATCGCCTAGCTATTTTCCTCAATTTCTAGGGCTACCTATGAGGTCCGAATTAAAGCTTTAATTGGTAGAACTGCGATCGACGCGGATCCTATATCAGTCAGGTAGGTACAAATGTTGTAACAAGATTGTTGTCAAGCCGATATCAAGATTAATTGTTCGCACTGCTTGTTCCCAGTTGTTGCGACAAGTCTGGAACAAGTTGTTATCACCTTGTTACATGGTTGATGACGGTAACAGACTTGCTACAAGTTGTTCCAACAAGCTGTTCGTAACAAGTTGCTACGAGCTTGTTAACAACGTGTGGACGATATCAGATTTGTTGGAACAACTTAATGCAAGTCTGTTGACCTTGATTGAGTATGATTGGGCGTCCCTTGCAAACACAATTTTTCTTTGTATTGCAGGATTGACGCCAATCCCAATAAACCTGTCAAGCTGGTGGTCGACCAATCCAAGTTTCAAAATAACTATGTCGTTGGTAGCACATTGAAAGGTTCGTAGTTCAAACGAAACATATCTTATTGTTCATTTGTACCTAGGGAAGTGATATCGTTCACTGGGGAATTTAAAATGGGGCTCCTATAATGTCATGGTTTTAAAACAGCAGAAACAATTTTGTAGCCGAAAGCACACATCAAACACAGAAGTCCTGAACTTGAAATTAGCAGGTCCTGTTTACTTTTACAAAATACACTCCACTTTTCTTTTGTAGATTTTTTTGCCCACGTGGTTGCCGAAGATGATCACGTGATGAAGTGCAACACGAAGGATTTCGTCCTGAAACTATGGTCTGTAGAAAACAACAGTTCTTCGTCAGAACCACCCGCTAAGGTTCGTTCGAGTTTGAACTGTTTGGAGATAATTAACGCCTGTATTCTAAAATCTCACTCACACTCAAAGGCTATGTTTACATTGTATCGGATCAGTTTTTGTTTCGTTCGCGAAAAGTTACGGCCCGAGTGTAAACAGCTTCCGCCCCGCCCATCTATGCCGTCGTATTTTCTTCTATATATTATTAGAATAGTAAGTTGTTGTTTGCCAGATTCCATCCGTGTCGCGCATTGAACCGAAATTGCTCCGATTGGTGTTTACATTACAATGAGAGCGTTGCAAAAACCGATCCGATACACCGCGCACAACTTCGAAGAGCGAACGCACCGCAACACCGGTTCGTTGCAGAAATTGAGAAGATAACAACATTTCATATGTAAACAGAAGCCCTATCCGGTATGGTTTTTGCGTCGGACGCAAAGTGATCCGATATACAATGTAAACATAGCCAAAGAGTGAAGGTTCAATCTGAGGTCCTATCTGAGCTTCCCTTGAGTGTCAATGCTGTTTTTGAATAGCAGGAGGGTTACGTCTGTATTCTAAAAGCTCACTCACACTCAGAGAGTGGTGGTTCAATCTGAGCTCTCCTTGAGTGTCAATGCAGTTTTTGAATAGCTGGAGGGTGAGTAGTCACATAGTGACTACTAACCCTCCAGCTATTCAAAAACAGTAATGACACTCAAGGGAAGCTCAGATTGAACCTCCACTCTTTGAGTGTGAGCGTGAGTGAGCTTTTACAATACAGGCGTTTGTGTCGTATCTTACTCTGTGACTATACTCACCATCCAGCTATTCAAGAACAACATTGACACTCGAGGGAAGCTCGGATTGAACCTTCACTCTTTGAGTGTGAGCGTGAGTGAGCTTTTACAATACAGGCTTACGTGTCGTTGTCGAAATCATGTCGGTGTCCGATGTTGAGATTCGAGGCAACCGCGTTACCTGCCAGTAACTGGAGCTATTTGTAAAGGTCTTGTGCACAGGCATGTGAGATATGGTGATCTGGAAACTAAACACAAGTCATTGTTGTATGTTTCTGTCGGAATTTATGTTTATTTGTGCACGGCCACAATGATATTGAGCTCATTGTATTTTCGTATAATGAAGTAACCATCCAATAGGGATAGCTGAGATGAAACGTGCAACCACGATGAATAATATTTAATGAAGTTGAAACAAAGGATTTATGCACGGTGAGGTACAGTTTAACATTAAACAAAGGTTTTCTATTTTGTGGCTTTGAAGTTTGCCAGGCTTTCAGACCATCATATCTTGACAGACTATGTACAGGCTAAGTCCTATACTACTTTATAAAAGTCAAAGTCAAAACACGTTTCTTTTCACTTTATTTTTAGGCCATTTCGTTCCAACCCGCGAAAAAGACCGCTGCAGATAAGGAGAATCATTACTATTTCCGGTAGGTTGGAAATGTTTTGCAAAGAAAAATGGCGCAATGAAATTTTTTGTTAGAATATAATATCTTTTTCAGAGATATCACGGTTCCAGAGCATATTGGATCATATTGCTTATTGTTGATGTACTCGCCCGGTGGAAATGTTAAACTCAAATCTGATCTTGTAAGTTCATAGCCTGTTGTCTTACCGGAAATATTTACACCACAGACATCTCATGGGTTACTCTGGTACTGTCAAACTAACTTAACTACAGAAGGAAACCTACACTAAACCAACATTATTTATACTGGATAGTGCTATCGGTTCTAAACTGTTCTTCCTAGAGGTCCAGTAAGGATCATCTCTTATTGATCCAGTGTTATTAAACTCAAATCTGATCTTGTAAGTTCATAGCCTGTTGTCTTACCGGAAATATTTACACCACAGACATCTCATGGGTTACTCTGGTACTGTCAAACTAACTTAATCCTACAGAAGGAAACCTACACTAAACCAACATTATTTATACTGGATAGTGCTATCGGTTCTAAACTGTTCTTCCTAGAGCTCCAGTAAGGATCATCTCTTATTGATCCAGTGTTATTACAGGAGGAAACTAAACTAAACTAACTTTCTTTATACTGGATAGCGCTATCAGTTCTAAACTGTTCTTCCTACAGCTCCATAAAGGGTCATCCAGTGTTACTACACCAGGAAAACTAAACCAACATTGGTCATCCCTTTTGTTCTGCTGCGAAATCAGAAACCATAGTTCTTTTATCTTCCATTGCTGTAGATGCGTATCTCTCTGCAACCTGGTCCTCCAGTAAAACTTGTACCAGTAGGAAGTCTTGCTACTCCAACAGTGTCCAACACTCAGAGAGCCACAAGCCGTTACCTCATGAGAAATACGAAATTTTTACTCAAAGTAAGAATATACCATGTTTGGTTGACAAGAAAGATGTGAAAATTTTCTGATAGTAGTTTGGTTATTTATTATCTTCTCTGGTGATCTACCCCACATTACCTACATGCCATACCATACCATACCATACCATACCATACTATACTATATTACTATACTATACCATGCCATACTATACCATATTTACTCAAAGTAAGAATATACCATGTTTGGTTGACAAGAAAGATGTGAAAATTTTCTGATAGTAGTTTGGTTATTTATTATCTTCTCTGGTGATCTACCCCACATTACCTACATTCCATACCATACCATACCATACCATACCATACTATACTATACCATACTATACCATACCATACCATACCATACCATACCATACCATACAATACCATACCACAGAGGATGAAAATGTGGTGGAACTGGGCCAATTTTGTTATCTTGCAGAAAATTCTGGAGATTAAACTAGAACACGTTTCATATTTGGTCTATTCAGCAAGCCTAGTCTGTTACTTACCACAAAACATTTATGGATCGTCACATTGTTATTCTTTTGCACTCTCTTTTTTAGAATTTAATTGGCTTATTGACTAATATATTCCCAGAAAATTTTACATATTTTTAGCTGGTTCCCTGATAGATAAAAATATTTTCGCCGTATACCATACCATACCACACCATACCATACCATACCATACCATACCGTACCATACCATACTCCGTAATGGCAAAAATCCTGAGTGTTATTGAAGATTTTGAAGTGGTGCAGTAGTCAAATAATTCAAAAGGAAAGCGACAGAAATTCGCGCAAATAAAGCATAAAACATCCGATTCGATTGAATTACCGCATTGTAACAAAACAGTGAATGCTTGCTACATTGTAGGACCGGTACGACAACGTCACTGGCACAGATCTGAGCGGGAAAATCGAGATCTGTATCAACAAAGCACCGCAAACCAGCGAAGTTCCCATGCTCCAAGGCAACGTTCACAAAACTGAAATCGCGTTGGTGAATGGCGCTGCAACAGTTCCAACCCTCTCTATCGAGCAGAATACGGCTGGCAAGGACGGGCAAGAATATGTACTCAGTTTTACCGCACATGTCGGCGGACGGCGACAGAGTATTCCTCCTTTTACTTTACCTTTTTTATTTTATAACGGTAAGACGAGAAATGTGAGAAATGTATTTATCAAACTCGTGAAGAAAATTGAAGAGAAATGTTTAATATTTCCATTTTTGTAAAATCGTTCTGCAATTTGTTCAACTTGCCTTACCTTTCTTCTAGACGTTCGTAAGCAGCAACAAAGTGCCCAGTTAACAAAAGAACGAGATCATTTGTTTGAAACGATCAAAGCATACAGGTCATTGTTTGACACCACCAGACAACTCATTAACGAAATGAAAGGTATTAGATGTTGTTATTTAGAACCAGAAATTTATTTATACTGCGTAGCTCTGTCAGTTCCAAACCGTTCTTCCTAGAGCTCCAGTAATTAGGATCATCTCTTATTGATCCAGTGTTACTACAGGAGGAAACTTAAACAAAACTAATTTGACACCACCAGACAACTCATTAACGAAATGAAAGGTATTAGATGTTGTTATTTAGAACCAGATATTTATTTATACTGCGTAGCTCTGTCAGTTCCAAACCGTTCTTCCTAGAGGTCCAGTAATGGATCATCTCTTATTGATCCAGTGTTACTACAGGAGGAAACCTAAACTAAACTAACTTTACTTATACTGGATAGCTTTATCAGTTCTAAACTGTTCTTCCTAGAGGTCCAGTAAGGATCATCTCTTATTGATCCAGTGTTACTACGGGAGGAAATCTAAACTAAACTAACTTTACTTATACTGGATAGCTTTATCAGTTCTAAACTGTTCTCATCCTTCATTGGTTCGTTGTTTCGACAGGGAGAAACCTAAACTAAACTACCTGTATTTATACTAGATTTATATTGAACTGTTTCCTATTTTCTCCTGCAAAATAAACAAACACATTTATTGTGTCTTCATGTAAACGAAGTTGTATTTAAATGAAAGAAAATGTTCTATTATCCAGTTGCTGTCCACGAGGCGAGTTTGGCAGAAACAAAACTGCGCTCAGAACTGACCAGACAAAGTGTCCCAGCACAGAATTTACATTCGGTAAGTACAGAACAGCTCTCGAATCACGAGAGCTTAGATACTATTTGCTGCACTATAGCACTTGTATAGTCTAACCTGGTTTATCCATGTCAGCGAGAAAATGATATTTAGTGCTTTTCATCAATCGGTTGGTGACAAATAAAGCTGTGCTCAAACGAGGATGAGAGTTGAGAAGCGAGAATTTGCATGAGAGTTTTCTCAACTCTCATGTCCCGGTCAAACGAGAACAAGAGTTGATTTGCTGCACTATAGCACTTGTATAGTCTAACCTGGTTTATCCATGTCAGCGAGAAAATGATATTTAGTGCTTTTCATCAATCGGTTGGTGACAAATAAAGCTGTGCTCAAACGAGAATGAGAGTTGAGAAGCGAGAATTTGCATGAGAGTTTTCTCAACTCTCATGCCCCGGTCAAACGAGAACAAGAGTTGCATGAGAGTTAGTGCTTTTCATCAATCGGTTGGTGACAAATAAAGCTGTGCTCAAACGAGCGATGAGAGTTGAGAAGCGAGAATTTGCATGAGAGTTTTCTCAACTCTCATGTCCCGGTCAAACGAGAACAAGAGTTGCATGAGAGTTGAGAAGCGAGAGTTTGCATGAGAGTTTTCTTAACTTTCATGTCCCGGTCAAACGAGAACAAGAGTTGCATGAGAGTTGATGAGATTTTGATATCTCTTCTTTAGACTGGATCAGTCGATGCGTTTATTGGACAGTTAACCACCAAGCGGAATACATTACAGAATACACCTCGGCGGCAATGTAGTTTGAACCCAGGGCCACGCGGCGAAGCTGGAGTTCTGGGAAAGGTAAGAACCTGATTGGGGAAGGGGGTTCTATTTGTCTTGAATTATTTCCAAACCGTATATTCTCCCTGGAGGTACAGTTAGAGTCACTTCAGCTAAACTAATTTTAAGTTCTAAGCTGTTCAGCCTGTTCTTCCTATAGAGTCCCAGTAAGAGTGTTCTCTTATTGATCCAGTGTTACTACAGGAGGAAACCTAAACTAAACTAACTTTTTTTATACTAGATAGTTCTATCAGTTCTAAACTGTTCTCCCTAGAGGCCTAGTAAGGATCATCTCTTATTGATTCAGTGTTACTACAGGAGGAAGCCTAAACTAAAGTAACTTTATTTATACTGGATAGCTCTATCAGTTCTACACTGTTCTTCCTAGATGCCCACAGTAAGTTTCATCTAAAAGGCCCTGTAAGAATGATCTCTTATTAGTGTTACTACATGAAGAATGTCTGGAAGCACTCTTCTGGCATGCGACTGAGGCAAAATTATATCAGATAAGTGGAATGAAACCCCAATGATAGAAATGAAAATCAGATGCAATAACCACTAACACACATTTTAGGTCGCACATCTTGCGGAAGTGATGGAGAATGATATTGCAAGGGTGTTATCGTGGCATTTGTCTGGAGATATGGATTGTGTTATCACATTAACCACTGAAAAGGTACTTACCAAACGATATAAACGAATTTGTCTATTGGACCGGCAACCTTAGAAATGATTTTCTGATACTCTCCTCATATTTGTTGCAGGCGAAGAAAGTTTATCATGAATCAAAAGGAACGCAACAAGTGTTGCCCCTGGATTCTATTTACAAACGGAGCTTACCAGAATGGAACAAGTATGTTAGCTCAGTTGGTTAGAACACTGCGGGCCTATATTTGCATTTTTCCCAACTGTTCCTGGTTAAGTCTCATAAATGTATAGAAACACGCGATAATTTCCATCTACAAAACCTATAAACTAAACACTAAACGTTCCTGCCTTTACTGCCCCCCCCCCCCGCCCATACGGTAAGGGTATAGATTTTGAAGCGAGGTAATATGGCAACCATTTCTCATGTAGGCCACTACCTCATGAAAGATCAAGGTCAAATAGTCAACCTGCTGGCCATCCAATCTACGCCAGGTCTGCACTTATCTTTCCACAAGAACAGGAAAACTGTAAAATTGGTAAGTCGAAGCTGGCGAATAAACATAGAACAGTGGTTCCGGCATGCGCTGTTCGCGTGTTCTCAGTATCCCTGATCTCATCCTGTAATAAAACTGAAGTAATAAGACATGGTCCTTACAGGACCTCTGGGAAGAACATTTTTGGAACTGATAGAACTATCCAGTATAAATAAAGTTAGTTTAGTTTAGGTTTCCTCCTGTAGTAACACTGGATAGAACAGTGGTTCCGGCATGCGCTGTTCGCGTGTTCTCAGTATCCCTGATCTCATCCTGTAATAAAACTGAAGTAATAAGACATGGTCCTTACAGGACCTCTGGGAAGAACATTTTTGGAACTGATAGAACTATCCAGTATAAATAAAGTTAGTTTAGTTTAGGTTTCCTCCTGTAGTAACACTGGATCAATAAGAGATGATCCTTACTGGACCTCTAGGAAGAACAGTCTAGAACTGATAGAGCTACCCAGTATAAAGTTAGTTTATGTTTTCTCCTGTAGTAATACTGGACCAATCTCATATTGCCCTTACTGAGCCTCTGGGGGGAATAATTTAGAGTTTCCCTTGTATAATCGACCAACCGAGAAATCACCTGACATATAAACATTTTATTTTCATTTTAAGTTTTTGGTATGTTGCTTGGTGATACAATCATTCTGGATAATCTCGACTGTGCAAACAGCTACCGTCAGGAGGTTTGTGAATTCTCACCTATCGCACGTCGTAGGCTAATTCTTAACCCATTCCGTTGCCCTTTTCAAACGTATTTTTTATGTGTTGTCATCTAGGTGGTGAAATACACGCATTGTCCAACTATCTTGACAAGAACTGGTGATCGTATTAGAAGCAATGGTATGTATCATCTCAACAGGGGTGGAAAAAATATTCTACTTTCTGAGATCGCAAGAGGTTCATTGAAAAATTTTCTGTGAATGATCAAGTAAATCGACATTTGGACACCATAGTCTATCAAGATATGATCATCTGGAAACTAAAGCTACGGATACACGGCCAATACTTTTCTGGCGATGGCAATGCAATGGTGGTAAAATCGTTGCATTGCCGTCGCGAGAAAGAAATTGCTTGTGTATCATGCTCTGCGACGGCAAAGCAAAGCTGCGCGCAATCGTTGCCGAAATTTCAAATCATTTGATTTTCGGCAATGATTGCCGAAAATTGGGAGGTGTGGTCAAGGAAGATCAAGGTTGATGAATGACACGTTTCTTGACCAGCCAATGAAAAGCGTTATAAAGACGTATATTGTAGGTGAAATATTGCAGGTGTAGCCACATTGTGCGACGGCAACGCAATGCTGTTATCACCCATTGCGTAACCATCGCAGCAAAAATATTGCTCGTGTATCCGAAGCTTAAACAGAAGTGTTTGCGATATGTTTTTGTCTGAGGTTATATTAATTTGCGCACGGTCACGGTGATTGAGCGGATTGTATTTTCGTATAATGAAGTAACCGTCCAATAGGGATAGCTGAGATGAAACGTGCAACCACGATGAATAATATTTAATGAAGTTGAGACAAAGGATTTGTGCACGGCGAAGTACAGTTTAACATTAAACAAAAGTTTTCTATTCTGTGACTTTGATGTTTGCCGGGATCCAGACCATCATATCTTGACAGACTATGGTCAAACTGAATATCATGCTATATTCTAATAGAAAAAAATTAATTTCAGTGCACTGTGAATCTTAATAATTCTATACATGGTATGGACAGGATCGTGTGAATCCTAATCCGGTCCGATTTCTTTAATAATCTTTATTTGTTTTGTGGATTGTAGGTAAATTTGGAGGTTTACAGAACAAAGCTCCAGCAATTGAGAGACTACGTGGTGTCGTGTTTGCGGCACCCTTACCGCTCACTTATCACACGATATGTACTCAACTGGGTAGGTACCATAGAGTGACAAGTGGGGGTTATATACTGTAGCAGATGTGCTACGAATGGACCATTTGCATTATAGACTAAATTTTGATCTAGACAAAAATTTCATCACAGCTTGAAAGAGCATCACAAAATTAGTAATATTCCAAAGTTTCATTGCGAAATGTTGTAATGCAAATGGTCCATTCGTTGTACTCTGTATATTACACACGTAAAAACACACAAGTTGTAATAAACCTGCAGCAGATTTGTAGCATTGCTGTTCCAACAACTTGTCAACAGGATGTGTTCGCACTGCTTGTTCCCAGTTTGTTGGCAAGTGGTAAACGGCTTGTTGACAACTTGCTACAAGGTTGTTGAGCTCAACAGACTTGTTACAAATTGTTCCAACAACTTGTTATCGTCCTGCAATTTATCAAGTTGTCAACAAGTTGTGACTGTGTGTCATAAGTTGTGACTGCAGCAGATTTGTAGCATTGCTGTTCCAACAACTTGTCAACAGGATGTGTTCGCACTGCTTGTTCCCAGTTTGTTGGCAAGTGGTAAACGGCTTGTTGACAACTTGCTACAAGGTTGTTGAGCTCAACAGACTTCGGAAGAGCAATTTATCAAGTTGTCAACAAGTTGTGACTGTGTGTCATAAGTTGTGACTGCAGCAGACTTGTAGCAATGCTGTTCCAACAACTTGTCAGCAGGATGTGTTCGCACTGCTTGTTCCCAGCTTGTTGGCAACGGCTTGTTAACAACTTGCTACAAGGTTGTCGAGCTCAACAGACTTCGTCCTGCAATTTATCATGTTGTCAAGAAGTTGTGAGTGATCGTAGCAATTTGATATAATAACAGCATTGTTACAACTTGTTGACAAGCTTGCTACAAATTACCTGTTGCCAAAAATCTTGTTGACAAGTTGTGAGTGACAACCTTGTACTCTTGTAGCAACTTGATAACATAACAGCATTGTTACAACTTGTTGACAAGCTTGCTACAAGCCTGTTTTTTACTTGTGTAGTAGATGATATAATTAGGATATCCCAGAAGTGGGCAGTCAAGGAGCACTTCGGTACAGTCCATCGCGAAATAAACCTAATATCCGTGAATGCTCTCTTTTTCTTAGAACAATTTAAAGCGTTTAAACAAGCCATGATCAAACACTCCCAGGCTCAGGATGATTACAAGGTACCGTCATTTATATCACGACACGATCAACGACGATGAGAGTTTTTAAATAAATTGTGCACTCTCGTTTGAGCGCCAACTCTCATCGACTCATGAACTTTGAGATTCAAATTTTGATGAAACACACTTTATTATTTGCAAACTCTCGCTTGCCAACTCTTATTCTTGTTTGACCAGGGAGTAGTATTCTACTAAAACGCGCAGTAGTTTGTGTCTGCGTAGTTCGAAGTCCCTACCAAAGGCCCTCTAAAAGACCAATTTCCACTCGAAAAATTCTCAGCAGAAAGAAAAATTTGTAAAATTTGATTTGACCAACACGGAAAAAAATTTTTAAGTTGAAAATTTTCAACTTTTAATGATATTTTCGGGAAATTTTCTGTACGTGGAAATTTTTCTTGGTGGAATGGGCCTCTCGTCACGATTACTACCCATGCACCCTGTAATATGTGGGCAAAATAAACAACCCGTCGTGTTTCAAACAGACTAAGAACGATTATATGCATCATGTCGATCATATTTACGTATCTTTGCGTTCAGTTGGTGCTGAGGCGTTCGGATTCTGGCAGTGCGTTGTTTCAGTGGTTTTGGGTTTTTGGGACACCCTGTACAGTATACTGTGAATTAAAAGGTTTATGTTAGGAAGAGGAGGGGCACCATGCAATGGACTTTACGTCCAGTTTGTGCCTTGTCCGTTTGAGTACAGCTCTTTAATTGTATGTTAGATGAATATTTGTTGAATTAATTTGTACTCAATAAAGTTTAACAAACAAACGACATACCTCCATCCAGGTTCAGTTGGATCAAATGCAAACTCCCGAGATGCAAAGCAAGCATCAGGAATGTCGCCAGGCCGAGATCAAATTACGTGACATAGAGGAACGCCTTGGCATGACGCCCGCACAATACGACATGCCCGCCAGTCCAGCTACCATGTTGAAGTCAGCGTTGGGAAGTACGTCATCGAGAGGGTCACGTACCTCAAAGTCCCCGGGAACAAGATCCACTCCAATAGGGCGACCAGCGGCTGACCCAAGAGCATCGTCGTCAAGGGGGAGCACCGCTGGTCAACAACGTGTTGTGAATGGAGGCGCAAGCACCCCGACTCGAACTCGACGAAGTACGACAGCTCCCGACTCGTATGCCTCGCCAAGCAAGCGACCCAGACGAAGTTAATCAGAAATTGGAAGACAAACAAGTTTTCACTAAATCAGCCATGAGCGGCTAGCGTTGTTTAAGATGTTTGCATATCTGTGATGCTGAGACTCGCCGCCTACAAGTAGCCTATTCAAGTTTGCTTCGAGTTTCTCGTTCTGGTACATTGGTTTCGGGTTGTTCTACGGAAAGGTTAGCATAAAGCCGTGGCAAAGCTAACCAGGGCAGCTGGTCGTGCCATATGCAAATTTTTAAATATTTGTATTTTTGAAACCTATTGTCTTTAAACTATTTTGGTGCAGGTGTATAAGCATAGCATGACCAGTTGCCATGACTAGTTTCGCTACTGGCATAAATCCTGGTTTCTGTTTGGTTGTCATGGTACCAAGACCCTTACTGTGATCACAGAAACTTTGATAGTGTAAACCATAGTCTATAGGGCCAAAAAAATATGTGGGTTTCCGGTTTCCCGACCCTACCTAGCTTTTGGACGTCGAAATCCCGACCCTAAACTTTTTTATTGGATCATGCTTGTAAGTGTTTCCACTTAGAGGAAAAAGTTTGTGGAAAATTGAAATTTGAGGCAATATTAGGGAAATTTATCTTTGGATGTGGACGCACTGACTAAACAAAATGGCGTACGCTTGTTAGGAAAAATAAAAAAAAAGTTTAAAAAAAAGAAGTTAAAACCGACCTACCCTACCTACGTTTTTATAAGAAGAAACCGGAAACCCACATATATTTTTTTTTTGGCCTAGGCTGATTTCCACTGTTGCGTTTTTCGTACGCACGTACACGCACGTAAAACTTTGAATCCTTCTATTTTTGAAATATTTTACAAATACGTTAACAAATGCATACTAAAACTTGCGGAACACTAAATTCTGTTGCTTTATTTATTCGGTTATTTCATAAGTAACATTTAAACGGATTTAAAGTTTTACGTGCGTATACGTACGTATGAAAAACGCAACAGTGGAAATCAGCGTTATCGAAGGGAAGATGGCTGTGAAATAACTCATTATCTATGTTGGACAACGTTTATTCATAATCTGGTCCTTCACCGTCACGTGTGTATTGTATTTTTGCCAAATCCACCAATAGCAATTTCCCCTATTGTTCGAGTCACAATTCTATTTCAGAACCATCCTCAGAGATACGAAAAACTAGTTTCATATTAATCTGACATTGCAATCGAGCAACGAAAAATTCGTTGGATTGATACTGCTCGATTGCAGTGTCAGATTAATATGAAACTAGTTTTTCGTATCTCTGAGGATGGTTCTGAAATAGAATTGAAACACTGCGCGCCCTCTAAGACAAGCGTTAAGTCGTTACGAAAATATTTCGTGCACTTAAAGGCTGATTTCCACTGTCGCGTTTTTCATACGTACGTATATACGCACGTAAAACTTTGAATCCTTCTATTTTTTAAATATTTTACAAATAAGTTAAAAAATGCATGCTAAAACTTGCGGAACACTAAATTCTGTTATTTTATTTAGTTGGTTATTTCATAAGTAACATTTAAATGGATTAAAAGTTTTACGTACATGTAATGAAATTACATGCAATGAAAAATTCATTACATGTAATGAAAAACGCAACAGTGGAAATCAGCCTTAAATTGGATAAGACTCGCTACGAATCCCTGTTGACTCGATAGCTCAATAGGTAGAGCGGCGGTCTAGGTACCCGAAGATGCGAGTTCAAATCCCGCTCGAGCCAACTAATTTGTCGTTGCTCGATTGCAGTGTCAGATTAATATGAAACTAACAGATAGGTAACTTTAGGTAGGTAATATGAAACTAACAGATAGGTAACTTTTAACAGATAGGTAACTTTCCTAAAACATTGCTATTGGTTAGTTGGGCAAAAATACAATACACACGTGACGGTGAAAGGACCAGATTTATGAATAAACGTTGACTAACATAAATAACGAGTTATATTGTTATTCTAATGAGTTTCACAGCCATCTTCCCTTCGATAGGCTATGTGTGAACTAAGCTTTATTCACGTTTACAATAAACTCGCGCTTGCCAACTCTCATTCCGCCAACTTCACAGGGTCGTAACAGTTACGGCTGAATAGAAACCACGTTTACATTAGGAGAGTTTTTAAACTGTATTTATTGTAGAAATAGTTGAACATTTTAGCATCGCATACATATAGTATTTAATGCATACCGCTGCTTTGCTGCATTGACAGTTTTTAACATACATGTATCCAATTGTATGTATATAGCATTCTATTATGTTTGATGACGCTTTCAGATAAAACACTGTCTATCAGTGCATTCATTCTGTGCACTAGTGTGCAGTACCATCTAAAAAATCTGCTTGACCACACAGTTTGTGTTTTTAAAATAATGATTAACTTCTATTGTTTGCGAGCTCTTGAAAAGATTTCATTTGTTTGTGAGCTCATGAGAAATACTCAAGAATGCTTTATAGTTAAAAACCATGTTAAATATCTTTATTTGTAAAAACTGCACAGATGGTGATGGACAATGTTTCTTATCTGGAATTGTTAATCCTTTGTTCATGTTTTGTTGGATTCTGTTGAAAATACCACATACTATTTAAAAACAGTTCTTGTTGAGTCATTTGGGTTGAATCATCATCAGGTATCCTTGTTCAGTCCATATTTTTCTCTCATCTTCATAAGCTCTTGTTTCTTCTTTTCCTTGTCCAATTGTTTATGCATCTGCAGAAATATTTGAAACCAAATGTTATTCTTTTCAAATTTCTGCTGGGGGGGGGGGGACTAGTCTCTGATAATAGTAAGTGTATTAGGACATCCAAAGGGGTTAACTTCCAATTTTGTGGGGGAGGTATGGGTGTTTTCTGGAATGACCCAATCAAACCCCAGTCACAGAGGGGGAAGTTACTTGTTAGTTGTATTGATTATTGTGCTCCCATAATTAGGTTCATCTGATGAAGGGGATGCTTGCTTCCAGGGGGGGGCTTGCTTCCGGGGGGGGGGGCTTGCTTCTGGGGGGGCATACCTCGACCAACATAACACAAATCTCATGAAAATTTTAGCATGCAATGGTTCATTGATGACCTTTCCTAGGGGGAAGGGGGGTGGGAAAGATGCAGACTTTTTCTACGGGTGCATGCTCCCCTGGAAATCTGCCCATGCCCCTTACCAAGAAATATGTCATACATTCCATTTCCGCTTACCTTGGTTGGCTGATAGTAAAGTACAACCAGGTATCTGTTACAGACGTTGAAACCTGACAAATGATCGCAGGCGTTCTTGGCGTCAAAAATGTCTTCATAAGCAACGTATGCCGTCCCTCGGGTGTCGTTTGCATTTCCACTACAGGAAAACATATTACTTTGTGTAAGTTTTTAAATGTATAATTTATAAAATATATTTTAAAGTATATGTATACTTTAAAGGTACATTTACACCCTACAATTTATCGTGTACGATTTGTATGAAAATTACTGATGCCGACACAATGTCTCTTCATTTAGTTTATAGCAACCACTTTGAGCGTTTTTTTTTTCTGTGTTGGTGTTGTGTACTCAGGTGAATGTGATGTTTGTGATATTACTCTGAGCGTATATATCCACACCGGGCGAGCTTGTTTATTTGATTACATACGCCAGAATACAAATTTTACACAAAAAATCGCAGTGAGCAAACATACCTTAAATGTTTGGGTTTTTTCACCTATTGTTGTCAGCTATCAGATTTATATTTTGTCATTTGAAATATATATGGATAAATTTCATTGATCAGTTGAAGCTATTTATACTGTGATAATTGTACTGAAAGATTGGTTATGAAACCATTTTCACTAACGAGTAACCTTATAAAACTGAACTTACATTCTTATCTGTCGAATAGCACCATATTTCCCAAAGATATCGTACATTTCTTCAGCTGTGATTTTATATGGAAGATTTCTGTCCAGAAATATAAATTTCCTTAGTGTTAAATTTATTTTACCAGCTAGGAAAAATCATTGCAGTATATACAACACGTAAAATTATGTCTTTTTAACATACCTTACATAAAGGATTCTATTAACTTCGGGAGGTAAACGGACCTGGGAGAAATAAGACCAAAAATAAAAGCTTAATATCATTTCTGTTTACAAACAAATTTTATTACATGTGTAAAATTTGACAACTTCCAACACCAAATTCAGCAAGAAAAGTAACCTCGATTTCCAGTAATTTCGCATATATAACAAGTTTCGTACATACGGAACCTTTCTGTATCAAAATATGCAATTATATGTTGAAATAAAGCACTAAAAATCAAAATACTTACGTTAGTTTTACGAAGATTCGCTAACGCCATGTTGTCTCAAATAATAGATTTCCGGGGATATGTATATCCGGTAACCAAGTGCCGTACGGCGATACATACCCTACCCGGTTTTTGCACCAGGGCTTTCGTACGGCTATTTTATTGTTTTTTTAGATAAAAATATCAAACCTGTATTGATCCATGAAAAAATTCTGTCATATGTATTTCAGTTTGCATTTGTTGTTTTTATAAAATATTTTTTTCTTGCTATAAAAGGTTTCCGTTTTTATATTCTAACAGATATTTCTAACAAATGTTCCTAGTTTGGAAAATAGGCCAGGAAACAATGTTTCTGAAATCATTATGTTGGTTTGCAGAAGTTTCATAACATTCTACAGTAATCCTTTCTATAAATTTAGACTGTAGAAAATGAGATTAGAATTTTTCGCGCGCGTGTGTCGTTGCGAACTTTGACCTTCAGTCATGTGAGGAAAATATGACGTCACCACCGGAAACAAAAGTACAAAACAATTCGAAATTGCGATTTCACGAAAACATTCGCAACATGATGGAGGCAACGACCAACGGAGGTGAAAATACTGCTTCTTTGGAGGACGAAAGTCCGTTTGAAGATGGTGAAAAAATTATGGAAGGCGTAGAAATAGCCACGGATGAAGATGCTGCCGCAGAAGAAGCGAGGAAAGAAGAAATTCGCCAACAAATGGCAAAGGTTTGTGCGTGCCTTATGAACCACTTGGTTTCAATCTTGTGTACTTGTGATCTTTTATATTAACTTACTTTACTGGTCAGAAACACTTACAAAATTCGAGGCGATAGGCCAATTAACAAAATAAAACAAAACAACGGGACTTGAGAAGATTTGTTTAAGCCGTACAGTTAAGATTCAGTTAATTTCGCCGTCTCCAACAGATTTCACAGTTTTAAGGTGTTTTAAACAAATGTTGAAAAAAATTGAAGATTATTACTTTTCTTGCCGCCTGGCCACAGAATTTGTTTTGCGGTGAAAGGCACAGGGCCCGACTGAGCTTGTGTTCAATTTTAAAGGCGAATTGTGGTTTTTGAGGGCAGCTAATTACATTCATGCGTGCATTTTTTTAAGTGAAAACGTGTGATTAATTTTATTGCCATTGATTTGCCCCGAAAATGAAATTTCATTACGACTTAATACGATTAATATTTTCTGTAGCACAAATTTACAACATGTGAATATGATAAAACGCGCTTTACATCAAGTACTACACTTACCTAATTGCTTACTTTAGTAGCCTGGACTAATTTATCTTCACAACAATTGTGATATTGCTTTCTTTGTGTTTATCCTACCGATATCCCGTGGGAGGAGACCAGAGCACCCGGAGAAACCCACGACTTTCGGCAGAGCGTTGACAGCTGACTCTTTTCACATGAGTTTGTTGAGATCATCAGGTCCACAAACTTAGAGGTGACTATGTGACCAAAGGCGAAGCCTCTCAAGGTCACTCGAGGTGGGACAAGGTTTTGCTGTTAATGCCGTATTTAGGGCCGATTTCTATGAAGTCTGTTCTATAATATGTTCTGTGCCTTATATAATCATTTGAGCAAACGAAACAAATTTACATACACGTGGCTCAGATTTTCACCAATCTCGAAAGAAATGTTATGAAAGCGCAATGTGATTACTAGAAAGTAGATAATTTGCAATGGACACCTGGGGCATCCCAAAAGACATCGCACCTCCTACATGGATGAAATTGGAAGGCAACCCCTTACCCAAGTAGTTTTCCCCGCCTCCCCTCTGGAAGACAGAAATTTCCTCCGTTAGAAGAGTGCAAATCTTTTCTGGAATGATCCATTTCACCCATATGTAGCTTTCTGCTTATGTCAAAGCTCACATTGTGTACTTAAATGCAAATATACAATGTTTTGCTGTTATGCTTATAATCGTGGTTGCATTGCAAGTGAAAACCGGATATATTTATTTGTCAAAGAAGAATTAGACATATTGGGTTAACCAAACAAGTGTGCTCATATTTGTCTTGTTAACTTATTAAAATATACCCAAATCGATTGTTTGATCATGAACAAAACATGTGTTTCAGTGCATCATGGTTTCATAGGTGGATGGGAAGGGGGAAATTTGCCCGACTTTTTTCCATGCTAAACTTCCAAAATTCTTGTCAACATGGGGGGGGGGGAGGTTTCAAAAAATATTTGGAGGGCTGATATTTTTTTGCCATATTACAGATTTCTTTCATTTTTGACTATTATCTTACATACTTCTTGCTTTTCAATTTATTTCCCCCCATCTTTTTGCCCAACTTACATTTAAAATTTGCCCAAAGTAACAAATGAACTTTACTTAAAACATTTATGAAATGCTGTCATTACATATTCAGTCAATGATTTTTATTGTCAAAAAAGAAAAGGTCAATTAATTTTTTTAATTTAGCTCAAATTCAAAAAAATTGTTAAAAAATTATAATTGACATATAATTATATTTTGTCTGAAATGGTTTGTTTTCGTAAATTGGTTTCATTAAAGTTTAATATTGCAGGTTTTTACCTAAGAATAATCTTGATAATATCAGTGTGTTGAAATTCTGTTTTAAGTGGGTCAAGGTCGTAGAATTATAAATCGCAATGTCTGCGATGTTCTGTACGGCATAATTTTTGGAATGGATATGCATGCTGCCTGTCAGGTTCTAAAATGTTGCCTTCAGTTTTTGCATTCAGAATTTCACTATTATTTTCTACATGTCACAGCAGCCAGTGTCACCATTGTAGTTTGGACAATTAAAGTTCATGTCATACATTATTTCACCATTATATTCTCTGATGTCACCATTTTTAATGCAATGTTGCCTGTCGCACGATATTTGAAGCCATCCTAGTCATACGCCGCCCCCTTCTTCAGCTGCTCGCTTACAAGAAGGACACTTACGCCCATATTCTAAAAGCTCACTCACACTCAATGAGTGGAGGTTCAATCTAAGTTTCTCTTGTGTGTCAATAGCTGAAGGTTAGTATCATACCTTACTATGCAACTACTCACCCTCCAGCTATTCAAAAACAGAATTGACACTCAAGAGAAGCTCAAATTGAAGCACTTATTGAGTGTGAGTGAGCTTTTAGAATACGGGTGTTAGTCTGACCTCTTTGCAAAATAGGCACAAGATGAATGCAAAGGTTTAAAAGTACAGAATATCTTAATTTGGGATTCATTGACATTTGACACATTGTATATTTGAAAACATGTATCATTGAATATTGGATGTTGTTTTAATACTCAAGTTTTGTCAACAAAAGCTACATGAAACCGTTCAGTTTTGACTATAGTTTCACTTTTACAAATTACGTTTGAATATATAAATCGTATAATATTCTATCCTCTCCAAGCCAGATTATTTTAGTTACCGATAATTTATCTCACCGATAATTTCGAAAGTTCGCGATGTATGACGTTGATATTCCGCCGTAATTTGGACAAATGCAAGTTTGTTCAGGACACGAAATTTCAAAACAATTGGGCAAATAGTTTTTGAGGAATATGTATTCAAACAAACCCTAGTTTAGCTATTTCGCCTAATTTATAAAATATCCTCTTCCAATACCAGAACCCTGGCCGTGCGCCCACTATTTATTTATTGTGCCCACTATTTATTTATTTTACACCTCCTAATCATGCCAGACCGTTTTACTCCTCATTGTTTGACCAGGTCTTAGAAATTGTTGTGCAATGCCCATTGAGGTTATACGTCAATGTTTATTCATTTGTCGCTGATAAGTGATATTAATCTTGTTAATGAAATGTGGTTATTTCACGTAAATATGAAATTGTATTAAAACAAAATTGCACCATGTTTATGTTGTAAAAGATACATCGACTTTGCCTTTGGGTAGCACAAGGCATTCGTAGCACAATTTTTCACAAATACAAAATTTCTCCCTGATCTCTTGTATCTGCCCTCATTGAATATTGGACCCCGATTGAGACACTCAGAATTTTAATGCATATACGCCCAACGCGATCCAAACTACAGACACGACAAATTTGACATGCATTAAAATTCTGACTGTCTTGATCGGGCGATCCCAATTTCTCGTTGCCGTTGGTTAGAATTCTGGTTTCGTTAAAGCAGAGACGTCCTTAGGATCGATTCCCAGTTGGGATACTCAGAAAACATTTTTCAGGAAGTGATTTGACCCGAATAGCGGCAAGCGTAAATAGTGACTAATTTTTCAACCGTTGGGCGTTGTAAAAGCAAGTGTGGGTTGACTACAAACTTTTTGTAGTTCGCTATAACTACAGCTACTTCAAAAATATGTAGTCAGCTACAACTACTGCTACTTTTGAACAACAGTAGTTCGCTATACTGACTACAGCTACTGCTTAAAAAATATAGCGAATTATTTCGCTACGCAATATTTTTTAATTGTATTGTATTTGGAGCATCTACTGGCTTAGGCTGTAATGTAACCTATATAACAAATTGACTTACAAGTAAATAAGATGGCATGTACTTGCACGGCATATTTTATTCATGCAAATTGAGTATTGATTTTAACCATTTTTAAGCAAACCGTGTCTCAACATCATGCTATTCTATCCAGTTGCTAACAATTTTAAAAAGTAGCGAATAGCGATTTTCTGTTTGAAAAGTAGTCAACTGCTACTTGGCTACTTTTAGGCAAAATGTAGTTCGCTATAACTACAGCTACTGTTTTGAAAAAGTAGTCAAAAACTACTGGCTACTTGAAAATTGTAGTTCGCTACTACTTCGCTACTACCCACCCTTGTGTAAAACAGTAAAAGTACTTGAAAAGCTATAAAACTGTGGATATATAGGCGTCACAATTCATAAAAAGAAACTTTAATTTATAAATAGCGAAGTTTAATTTGGGTTATACCAATGAACAAACAATTTTAGAACACTGTTTGAAAAATCACTATCCGCAGTGGATAGCGCTAAACGGCCTTCGTTTCTATTAACTGTGGTACAAGCAGCCCTATAAAGTAATTATTAATAAATCACGCAAATCCTTTGTGGCCAAATTGGGTGACGGAAAGTGCGGTTTCTGGAGGTAAGGGCCCCCAGAAAAGCTGGAGAAACAACATCAGGGTGAGAGTAAGGGCCCTCACCGTTATGGACATTGAAACTCGTGTCCGGACCGGGCTTCCCCGTGGTGAAGTGACCGAGAGATGCGAAGATCAGGACGAGGGTAAGGGCCCCCGCCGTTATGGACCTTGCTCCCTTTGCCGGTGTGTGCTTCACCGTGGGTGAAGTGTGGCCGAGTGGACACCACTTTCCGCCCCGCTTTCTTTATTTGTTCTTCAAATAGGTCGATTGAAATTTACAATTTTGCTTGAACAAGTAACTAATATATATACAAACATTTGTTGTTGACTACATCAAATTACAATATAGTTATTAATTAATTAATTAATCTATCAAGTGGTCCTTGCCTATTTTGTTGTGCAGTCGTGATAAATGGGTGGGGTGGGTGGGATTTTTCTTGGTGTCTACTTAAAGGCAGTTGAAAACAGTATGAACTGAGATGTTTTTTGCAGCCTATTGCTGATAGGTAAGGAATGCCGGCTTGGCAGAAAAAATGCCATTAGTGTCGTTAACTTGGCAGAACTTGTTGGCAGTGTCGTTAACTTGGCAGAACTTGTTGGCAGAAGATCTTTTTGATAATTTTGGCCGGATATCTGTTTTCCTTGCCTATCTAATCCCTTTGGGATTTGTTTTTTTCCCATTAGGTTTTTGTATATCTATTAAGTAGGGATGTTGCGACCTATTAATCCCAATTTATTTATTTTTTTTGAAAATAAATTAGTCCTTTGGCATTTTTATTCTTGACCGTTATATTATTCTGTTTCGGGGAAAAACCGGACCATTTAAGAAGAGAATCTTTTGTATGTGTAAAAGCCCATTTTCCACTGGGCGAATTTGTTTGCGCGAACAGTAAAAAAGTAGGAACCAATCCAAGTTTTTCGGTTATGGCTATATTCAATTTTTTAATTTTTGCAATTGTGGCAGGAACACTCCAATAACAAGCCTCTATCTTATTTAGTTAGAAGAAGAGATAACGAGTCTACGCAATACCTTGGAAAGAAAAGAGAAGCAGCACGCAGACCTCAAGAAAGAGCTTGGGATAACGCGATGGTCTCAGTTACGGGAAGGAATTGGAACACAAATCGGCTACATACAAAACAGTGAAGTGTAAGCTTATAATCCTGATCATGAACAGGCTTAGGATCTTATTCTCTGATCCGAGTTTGTGTTATCGATTTTCCATCTTTATATATGGATAAATAAACTTCCCTTTAGAGATAAGTAAACTTCCCTTTAGAGAATTGTCTAGAAGTATAAACGTTTGCATTCAGTTCATGTGGCAAAAAGGATATGGATAAATGGAACTCAGAAATGCAGGGGTGTATATTCTTCAATGAACTTTGATTCTTCCCCCCCCCCCTTCTTTTCAGATTTGATTCTTTTCCCCATATCTTTACTACATCAGCCTCAAAGGCCTGTACCTAATAGTAATACTGTGACATAGTATATTTGTCCCCTCCCCAAGATAGAATAAAATACCTAAATTATAAATTAGCTAGTTATAAGTTATTATTTACTAAATTTGCAATCCTCAGTAAATCCTTTTCACATTTATTTAAGTTACTTCCCATTAACATGAACAATCAACATTAATACAGTAATTGATTCAGCTAAAGAAACTCAGTGGCAAAATCATTTTGGAAAGTGGAAACACTGATTTTCACGAATTACCCAAGGAAATTTTGCTCTTCTTTTCCCTCTGCCTTTCCATTTTTTCTACTCTTCTTTGATTTTCTTCCCTAGACCTAAGACCTTTTGATTCTTTTCCCCCACCCCAGGGGGGGGGGGATTATAGAAGAATATACACCCCTGCAGAAATGAAATCTTCGTACTCAGATTAGTCTACCGGGTGTCCCAAAAAAAAACTGGACACTGTTTGATATCATGTAACGTAAAAGCTATCGCAATGAAATTAAAGATCATTGCATTCAGAAAGGTTCAAAGGACTAAGTTAGATTTTGATATATAGCACTTGAATTTACATGCAATATTGAGCGAGATACAACCAAAATAAAAATATTTATTATTTAACAAGTATAACTACATCGGTAATTATAAGGTTGTTTTATGCTAATTTGGCATTTTCGAAAACAGTAGTTCAACGTTCAAACATCATTAGTGCAGTCAATATAATATTGCATGTAAATTCAAGTGTTATATATCAAAATCTAAGTTAGTCCTTTCTGAATACAATTATCACTTATTTACTGAGACCGAGGGAAACAGTGTGTTTTGTGGACCCGAGACCGTCGGTCGAGGGTCGAGGGTCCACAAAACACACTGCTTTCCCGAGGTCTCAGTAAATAAGTGTTTTATTATATATCAATAGTCAAAGAAACAACAAATTAAAGAACAAATGAACGTAAATACATGAAATAGTTTATTGTTAAAACGTTATATTAAACACTGACTACACTGCAGTTACTTAAAGCGAAAGTTTTAATTACGTACTAGGCATGTCCAAAGGTCGCATCTTCACGTGATGGCGCACGTGATTCTTTTTGTTATTCGCCTGTCGATAACGTATTATCTCCCTCTCGCGCTGTTGCGAGGGAGACAGCCTAATTTCGTCACTCTCACGTGATATGCTCTCAACCAATAAAACACTAGAAAAATGCGACTTTGACTATTGATATATAATAATGATCTTTATTTCATTGCGATAGCTTTTATAGCTTTTACGTTACATGAAATCAAACATGCAGTGTTCAGTTTTTTGGGGGGCACGCGGTAGATCAACTCGCTAGTTTTGAAACTGGAATATTGAATCTTTATGTGTAATATATTTCTGGTATCTCTTAGGATGAAAAAAACGTCGGAAACAATCAAAGGATGGAATGATAAAATTGTTCATTCTGATGCGTAAGTGACTATATATTTGTTGTAACAAGTTTGGAACAAGCCGTTAAGAACTTGTCACAAGCTTGATGGCATTATCAGACTTGTTACAAGGTTATTCTAACAAGTCTGATACAGTCATGATATAACAAGAATGTTACAAGGTTGATGACACAAGGTTGTATAACAATATTGTTATATCACGACTGTATCTGACTTGTTGGAACAACCTTGCAACAAGTACGATAATATATCAGCAAGGTTGTTACAAGTTGTTAACAGCTTGTTTCAAACTTCCTAGCTATGAAATATTTTCAATGCCCGCCTAATATGAAATATTTCCAGTCATCCAAAGAGGAATGGAATCGAAGTTGAATCTGCGTGGTAAATTATTTTTTCTAGGTACAACAAAACCTGTAAAACTCTGTCTGGTGCAAGCGAGGCGACCTCTAATGCTTTAAAAAGTGCTGGAGCTGTGACGGCTAAAAAGATTGGAGAATTACGGTAAGCTGTATGGATGGCTCTTGCTCGACTTCTTGGGAAAACAGTTCGAGTAGTTTAGGCCCCGTTTACATTAGGGACCGGTCATAAAGTAACTGCTAGGGTGGGCTGGAGTGATTTGGGATGGGCCATGGAAAATCTTTGAGCAGTTTCGATGGGCCGCGAAATTTTTTGTATGTCCACAGTTGGGCCACCAAACAGAAACCCATACATGTCTACTTCAAAAAATAAAGATATTAATAATAAAAGTAAACAAAAAACTATCCAAATTATCAAATGCAAATGATGCTATTGAAGCCAGTACTTTGTTAAAACAACGACAAGAAGTGGTCGAATCACAGCAAATACAACCGAGAGCTGGAGAGCAGCTCAGTATCGTAATTGGTGATGAATGTGTTGGTCAAGCTTGGTGGAACTACGTATAGTGCCGGTGTATATTTACAATGTTCACACCTGCAAGTTTGTTTTTATTATAAAAGTGTATTTTCCCAATTTAGATTGGGTGGGTCATGAAAATTTTTTTGTAAGATTATATAGATGGGCTTTGAAATATTTATCTACATCCTAACTGGGTCACCAAACTTATTGGCAAAATTTGTGATTTACCTCCAGCCCACCCTAGCAGTTACTTCATGACCAGTCCCTTAGGTAATAGTGTCAAGACATGAGCACGGGTAATCACAAGATTGATATTTGATAGGAGTCTATGATCTTGTCTAAACCTTCTTCATAGGGATTCTGAAACCTTCAAGACAATTGAACATAAAGTCTCATCCGCAACAAGTTCAATTAAGGTATGAAAAGACGCCATTTGATAGTCGTCCCTTCAGGTCTTTGGTCATTTTTGAACTCCTTCTAAATATTTCCGTGGTGCAGACGTAAAATTCTCACAACCTGTCAACAAGATGTGTTCGCAACAGGCTTGTAGCAAGCTTGTCAACAAGTTGTAACAATGCTGTTATTTTGTCAAGTTGCTACAAGGTTGTCACTCACAACAGACAACTTGTCAACAAGATATGTCCACAACAGGCTTGTAGCAAGCTTGTCAACAAGTTGTAACAATGTTGTTATTTCGTCAAGTTGCTACAAGGTTGTCACTCACAACTTGTTGACAAATTGTTGAATTGCAGGACGATAACAAGTTGTTGGAACAGCATTGCTACAAGTCTGCTGCGTTTTTACGTGACTGTATAATTCACACTTTGTTTTATTGTAGGGGAAAGTAGTGGGACAAAAATCTGAATCTGAGGAACAAGGCGTTGATGAGGTTGATCCCAACATGGAACACGAACCAGTTGCGAGCAGTTGAATATTAACAACTATATCATTTAACAAGGCTGCTGGGTAGTGGGGTATAGATATATATGAGCGATATATGCACTAGATTTGCACTAGAGATAGACATTCTCGTTCACAGGGACATCGGTGGGGACTCGGTGTTATGTACTATTTAACGCACGTAAAAACGCACAAGTTGTTATAAGTCTGCAAACAAGTTGTTACAAATCTGTTCTCAAGCTGTTGACAAGTTGTGTTCGCACTGCTTGTTCCCAGTTGTTGTAACAAGTTTGGAACGAGCTGTTAACAACTTGTAACAAGCTTGATGGCATTATCAAACAAGTCTGACACAGTCATGATATAACAAGAATGTTATACAAGGTTGTAACAATATTGTTATATCATGACTGTATCGGACTTGTTGGAACAACCTTGCAACAAATCTGATAATATCAACAAGGTTGTTGCAACTGTTAACAAGTTGTTCCATACTTGTTGACAACTTGGGACAAGCAGGAACAACTTCTTGACGGCTTTTTGGCAGACTTGAGTTGAGTTGACTTGCTACAAGATGCGAGATTTTTGTGTGTGTATGACAGACTCACGGGCGTTCATTGCAGGGTTAGGGCGAATATTAGGGTGTTATTAAGAGTTTACGACACCGGATGCCACGTTTATTGACAGCATCGCAACGAACACCCCCGTGAGGGGGTCAAACCAGTGGGTTGTCGTACCATGTTGTCAACAAGTATGGAACAACTTGGTAACAGTTGTAACAATCTTGTTGATATAATCAGACTTGTTGCAAGGTTGTTCCAACGAGTCCGATACAGTCATGATATAATAATATTGTTACAACTTTGTAACATTCTTGTTATTTCTCAAATCATTAATAATTCATGAGCAATTCAGCCAATGATAATCACCTATTTGATCACAAGATGCCATGTGGATAACCCGGTGAAACTTGATGAAAGTGACTAGTGTTTTCATCAAATATCTTGATTACGCATGCAAAATTACTTGAATAGAATTCCTAAGTACGTTATGCTTGGTTAAGAATTCTATTCAAATCAGCAAACGAAAACATTCTGTTACGTCCCGATTCATTTGATTGTTTTCTCGTGTTTGGATATCCCGGTGAAACACTCGCTCTCGTTGTTCATACATTACATCATGACTGTATCAGACTTGTCAGAACAACCTTGTTGCATGAGAGTCGATGAGAGTTTGCGGTCAAACACGAGGGAGAGTTACAATCCTCATTGACGGGGGTTTTATTTCAAATTTAAGTAACTCTATAAGTTTTATAACCGCTTCTACTAATCAACTTTTATCTAATCTGATCTGATTTAACCAGCCAATACTTATAATCCTAAAGTTAAAGTGCAGATAAGATTTTTGATATGTGTAATATTTCAGGGTCATTCGAAGAAGAAATGTAATATATCTTTATAAATAAAAAATCCCATCTTTATCAACTTTTTCACTGTCGAAGTTTCCTGATATGATGTCATTAGGCGAATTGCAAATTAGTTTTCCTTTGTTTTTTGTACCAAAAATTCACCTAATTGCAATTCTAGAATTTTGACAGTGAAAAAGTTAATCAAGATGAGGTTTTTTACTGTAAAGATACATTAAATTTCATCTTAGAATGACCCAAATATTACAAATACCAAAATTATATTTGGGTTTAGTCTATGATTATGGTTTAGTCGCAGTTTAATGTAACGATTTTTTTGGATATCGAAACAAAAAATATCGGTTTTGATAAATAGCTTATCTTCATTGTTAAACCGTTAACTAAAATGAACCGTAGATAACAAGTATAACAAAATACAGAAAGAGTTCTTTTCTACGAATTTTATTTTCTACGAATTTTATTTTTCCACTTAGAATTTATTAAACCACTATATATTCCCTAACATGACGTACCTGTTTTCTCGCATCGCTTACCGATGACGAAAATGTTTGTGGGCTGAAGTGTAAACGAAACTGGAGAATATCACTGGATTGGGCTATTCCATTTAATATCCGTACCCCCCTGTCGAGGATACATGTTTTTCATTGTCATACCCCTGAAGAATTCCAAGCTCAAAACTGTTTACCCCTGAAGAATTCCAAAATTCCAAGCTCAAAACTCTATGACGAAAATGTTTGTGGGCTGAAGTGTAAACGAAACTGGAGAATATCACTGGATTGGGCTATTCCATTTAATATCCGTACCCCCCTGTCGAGGATACATGTTTTTCATTGTCATACCCCTGAAGAATTCCAAGCTCAAAACTGTCCTACCCCTGAAGAATTCCAAGCTCAAAACTGTTTACCCCTGAAGAATTCCAAAATTCCAAGCTCTCAAAACCCTTCACCCCTAAAGAATTCCAAGCTCAAAATCCTTTACCCCTGAAGAATTTCAAGCTCAAAACCTTTTACCCCTGAAGAATTCCAAGCTCAAAACCCTTCACCCCTGAAGAATTCCAAGCTCTGCCCTGAAGAATTCCAAAATTCCAAGCTCAAAACCTTTTACCCCTGAAGAATTCCAAGCTCAAAACCCTTCACCCCTAAAGAATTCCAAGCTCAAAATCCTTTACCCCTGAAGAATTTCAAGCTCAAAACCTTTTACCCCTGAAGAATTCCAAGCTCAAAACCCTTCACCCCTGAAGAATTCCAAGCTCTGAAAAATTTCAATCTCAAACCTCTTTCCCCCTGAAGAATTCCAAGCTCAAAACCCTTTACCCCTGAAGAATTCCAAGCTCAAAACCATTTACCCCTGAAGAATTCCAAACTCAAAACACTTTACCCCTGAAGAATTCCAAGCTCAAAACACTTTACCCCTGAAGAATTCCAAGCTCAAAACCCTTTACCCCTGAAGAATTCCAGGGATCCTGGATCCTCGACAGGGGCGGGGTACGGATATTAAATGGAATAGCCCAATTGTCTCCATAATTGTCCTTCGAAAGCCGAAACATCGCGTCATCGCCTCCTCGGCGATTTATATGAAGCGATATAAAAGAAGATTGACGTACATTTGACGTAATATATAAACGTAACACATTAAAAAGAAAGATTACAACAAAAAATAAAAGAATATAAATAATCCACGGCAGTTCAAGTTCTATTCGTGAACTTTTCCTCGCCCCCCTGTCTTTATTTCCATAAAGCCCGCTCGCAGGCTAATACTCCAAGAATCTTGGAGTATTTGCCTGACACGTGACCAGCGTTTACCAGGGCCATG